TTTTGCGATTTAAAGTTCTAAGTAACACTACAACTGTTACACGCGTATCGCTAACCCCCAGACGCACGAGTTGTTCGTCCCGTCACTTCGTATGGTAAAAAATATATAGAATATATAATTATGTCCTTGAATATTAAAAATTCGAAATGATTGGAGTTTTTTTATTGTACTTAATTCTCATACTGTTACACTTAATCGTACTGTACCTAATATTACTTTTTGTTTTGCACACGCTGTAACAATTTTGAATATAAATATAATGACAATAAAATCGGACGTGAATTGTGGGATTGATTTTTTATAAAAGTGTTCAACCATTTATTCTGGTAGGTAAAGGTTCTACCATACAGTACAGCTTTTATATATATTAGTATCCTTTGCTTGTTTTGAGGGAAAAGGCACCAAGCGCCTGTTCTTATATAATTAACTTTAGCTATGTAACGCAGTAATAAATGTTTTCGTCCATAAGGACATGATAAAGACAAACCACGGCGTCTAAGGCACACTACCCAGATCTTGAGTTTTAAGAGGGAGCAGAGGAAAAGTTCCTAATTTTCGATTTGATTTTAGAGGGGTATATCCACTTTAAAGTTAAAAATAAAATATTATATGAGTAACTACACGATATATTCAAGCATAGACATTAATCAGAAACATAAAACAATAAAGTTTCCTCGATAGATAAAAATCACGAAATGATATCTAATTTTCACATTTTTTCGATTTATCCTCGAAATGCTACAGGTTATTAGGACCAAAAATAGATAATTAATTATATTTATGCATGATCGACAACTGTCACTACGGATTTTTTAATACCTTTAGTTTTAGAGTTATTCAGCTAAAACGAATTTGGTACTTTTAATGCGCAAAATTCAACATCTCCTGTCGCATGTCACGCGAACTTCAGGCATATATTTGTTTCACAATTTTGGGCGGAGCCAACGTCAAAACTTTTTTGGCATGAGAGCTCTTAATCTTATATTTTTTTTTTTTTATAATTTATTAAGGCTTTGGCAAAGCCATCAGCCTAAACATGAAGTTTAATTATGTTTCTGTAAATATGGCCGCCACAAAGAGGATAGGCAATTTGAGGCGGCGTGCTTGGAATGACTCGGGATTCCTTAAAACGGTAATCTAATATTGTTACTCGATTGATGTCTGACTTTTTAAAAGTTGAACCAAAATAAAGAAAAGAAATAAAGAATAGGCAGTATGACTTCATGTCAAAGCTGCTAACATATTGAAGAAAAATTAAAATCTAAAATCTGGCAGTTTAATTAGACGCCTTAGCCTGTCCCGATAGGAAGGAAAAGTTACTACTGGGTAAGATGGAGGTCAATTCGAAGACGTCAAGTAGATACCTATCTAATTTCACAGAAAAAAGTCAATAACTTCTATTAAAGCAGTGAATTGACTATTACAATATTATTAATAATTAATAACTAATGCAGAAAACAGAACAATATATTAGGTTTTTATTGTATGGTTGACAATTAATAAGAGAAATACATTCTACAAATTATGTTGCACGTCACATAAATGTCCTTTCAAGTGACAATGCGACAGTAATACGAAGGCAAATCTGTCATGTCCAGCCTGTCTTATTGTCTGTTTATTGCACAAACCGTGCCTTACACAACAACCCCACGAGTGCTTCCACGTGACGCTATCAACTTGATAAATGTATTTTTATTACGAAGTAAAATATTCAAATACTAGTTCACACTACATTTATTTAATTTCTTTTCATTAGAAATAAGTGGTTTCGCTTTTGTTCATATGCTCACACGGCACACAGTGACAATATAGACGAAGATAAATAATGACCTTAAAAATATTCAGATTACATTATTTGGGAAATACAGACAATGACAAGCGGTAATCACATCGTGTATATAACCAGAAATAGAGACGAAATGACATTTAATTTGTTTGAAAACTATTCTGCCATATCATTACGGTGACAACTGTTCGAATTCAAAACAATTGACGGGTGTCGTCAATTTTTTCACTTCAAATCAACTAGTTTAACTAAATTGAGCTTTGCTATAATGGAATAAAATTGAAAAATTACATATTTAATATTTGATCACCGATGAAATGTGATTCCGTTTGTTTTATAATTAGATGTTTTGCTGTTTTCCCCACACCACCGAATGGAACAGCCCTCCATAGTTAGAGATATTACCTTTATTACAATTAATACATAACATTTTTGGAATATGCGAAGACGTACATGCTGGTCAATTGTTGGCGCTGTACTATTTCAGCTTTCTAATTTGTGATTTCAGTGCAAACGAGAGTTGATATCTAAAAGTGACATAAGGCCCATTTGACTGATAAGTTGGCAGGGATGGATGGCCCTTATTTCGTCTCTATTTCTGGTTTTATACTCGATGGGTAATCATGACCCTTCTGACCAATCGTAGTCCATTTGAAATAGTGTAAATATTTAACAACAAATCTTTTTTTGTACAATTACCCCAGATGCCCAATAATGTTACCTCCACATTACAATACCTTATAAATTATTAATAAATGGCGCAACTTTGTGCAGTACCTCATTCCAACACATCAATTTATTTATCATTAGTAGCAGTAGAGCTCCTTGTGAAAGAGTTCGTCCAGGGAAGTAGATAGATAAAACGTTTATTTGGATCTGCAGACACACGTATATAACAGAAAAATATGTAATGTAATAAAAAGAAAAAAGCAGCAGAGTCGCAGCACTGCCTGACAGCCGGTTATGTACGTGTGCTATGGCGGTGCAAAAACGCCATAACTCAGCGTTAGTGTTTACTCAGGAGCAAATCGCTGAATTTCAGCTATAACCTAGAGGATGCCGTGGATACGATAACCAGCTAGCTTTGTTCATGTTGTATAAATTAACCAAATAATAATTTCGAAACTTAACAAATACGAAAGATAATATAAACACAATAAAAGTACTTCCACCCTACCTATTCCTGCCGTGAAATAGTAATGTGGGCATTACTGCCTTTCGATTTTCAAGAGTAAGTTTGCTGGTGTAATTGCAGGCACATGGGTTTGGGTGACGGGCGCAGTGGCAGTGCCCATCAGATCTTTGCGATTTAAAGCTCTTAGTGGCAGCAACCGTTGTCGCTTTCAATCAGACTCACAATTTTTCGTCTCGTCACTTGATATCATAAAAAAAAGTCGAAATATATTCAAAAAGGATAGACAGATGAGCTGTCAAATGTAACCTTTCCAAAAACAATCTCATTTCAATGTAAGCTTAAAGTAAGCTTATTGTAATATTACTCATATTCGTACCATAAAGAACCTGTCAACCAAGTAATGTATTATTGCAAAAGTGATTGAAAGAACGAATGATTTCCCAATATTGTCTATTCTTTACTAAAAATAGGAAAGAGATAACGCTATGTGAACTATATAATGCCCTATTTCTTTTTTGATGTTCCGAATCGTCGTATCGTAGTATAATGTTTAAGTACTTAATGTTATTTACATTCAGAGAATTTTGACTGTTAAAAAAAGAAAAGTATGTAATAATAAAATCTATTAAAATTACGTTGTTTTCAATAATTATTCCGTGAAAGTTCGGAATAATAATGCAAAATAAATAAAATAAACTGAGTCTTGATAGTCACGTTGTGCATTCGGAACGGACTATAGTTGTCAACTGTTAGTTTCGCCAAGGAGCATATAGATGGCGCTGTTATAATTTTACGAAATAAACATCGCATATTTTTATTTAACGAAAAATTATTTACTATGTGCTATTAAATAAAAAATAAAAAATATTGAAGAGATATATGTAAGTAAATAAGTTGAATTTAACTTTTAATCATTACAAATCAATACTAATACAATAAAACTGAAAGTAATATTGGTTCCACTGCATCTGTGTAACTATTTTAAGATTGCTAAATTTGACATAAGAGCAATATTACTTTCATGTTAAAGTCGCGTCATAGTACGAACTGAGCGAATGAATAGTCACAAAGCTGCCAATAAAACATCATAGTTTTAACATTACAATAAGCTTACTTTAAGCGCGTTATGGTACGATAAGTCAATGTAAGGTTAAAGTAATATCGTTTTAAGAGGTTGTGGTAAGTCCCCTGTGAGCTGAAAAGTGTCAAAATCACGTGTCGAAGATAAATACACAAGATTTGATTATATACATATGAATCCTATGGTTTGATCATATGTGCGCTGCATCATTTTAAACCTTGGCCTTTTCATTGGCGGAATCAGATAAAAAAACAACAACAATGAAAATATTAGACAGACGTCTTTTGGACACGTTTATTTTCATTACATTTCATATTATTTTCTTATATTATATAATTACCCTTTGGTGTTGATTCCAAAACTGATATTAGTGACGATCACTATATATTTTATATTATTTTTACAAAACTAACACTGATAAAGTCTTAAAAAAGAAGAAACATTTTTGTCAACTTTGTTGCCATTTTTGTTCGGTTGTGTCGCAGTGAGTATACAATAATATCAATTCGATCAAGAATTAACAATTTAATTGAAAATTTAATGGGATTGCTTGTAAATTACTCTCATTGGCAGGATACTCGTCGAATAGCAGATCCTACAAAAACAGTTACATAACTAAGAGGACACACCGCCATTGAGCAACAAGAAGGTTTTCACATTATTTCCCCCATTTTATAAAAGTTACTGTCGTTTTTATTGTGTCGCAGTGAAACTCAAAAAAGTCTTGAGATTTAAAAGTTTTCTTCCCGATAAAAGGCAACCGACATTAGCATAATATGGAACAACCAATAATTTTGAAACTTGAATCGGTGAAAAACACATGCGTGAAGAGGTTTCTGGGTCATATCTTTTATTTAACCATAATAGCAACGTTAATACCGCTCACGTGCTATTTTGAAACATTCGTTGTCCAACCGTACGTTGTTGAAACATACAGTTTAAAATATTGGATTCACGTTGCTTTGTCCACGTTCTTGTATAGCAATATTCTTGGTAACATGATGTTAGGCATATTTACTAACAGCAGTAGTGGAGGGAATTTTTCAATAAACACCAATAGTGATAATTGGATGTACTGTAAGGTTTGTGAGTGTAAAATACCGCCTAGAGCATGGCATTGTAAGATTTGCAACAAGTGTTGTTTGAAAAGGGATCATCACTGCTATTTTTTTGCCAATTGCATTGGCTACTACAATCAAAGGTATTACATTATGTTCTTATTTCATACGTTTGTTGCTACGATGTATGCTGTGGTCTATAATGTGTATTTTTTAACTCAATTTCTAACCGGTTCCATAATTACCATCATGTTAAAAATATGTTTCCCTTTCATTACTCTAGTTTTTAACTTTGATAGTGAAAGCTTTTGTACTATTTTAGTTTTGATACATATGGTTGTAGCATTTTGTATAGGTGTTAATACCTTGTACCAATTGAAACTTTTATTGATGGGGAAAACGCAACACGAAAATAAATGTAGTAAGAATAAAAATATCTATGATAAAGGATTGCGATCAAATTTAGTTGAGTCATTGGGTACTAGATGGTATCTCACTTGGATTTTACCTTATATCAAGAGTCCATTACCAGGAAATGGTGTTGAATGGGATGTTAGTACAAATATAAGTAATTCGCACCCTCGGTGCAATGAAGCCACAGCTGCAAAATAATACCTTTTCAGAAAAGAGGTTTATAGATCTTACGAACGAAATTAGTCCACAAGTTTTATATGCTTAAGGCGAGGTATTTGAACCTAAACTTTAGGATGTTAGATGTGGGAGGCCGCGCCTCGCGTCCCGCAAGCCGCGCACTTGAATTTATATGAATTGTGAATGAAAAAAAAATTACTATATATAACATAAGAACAGGCGCAGAAAATTTAAACCATTTACCATATAAACCATTTATTTCCACACATAAAATACAGAATAAGAGAAAACAAGATTATCTACAAAATATATATAAAAAAGCCAAGTAATTTGTGTGTGGGGGACAGTCTGCGTTCACTGAGTGACTGCCCCCGGCTTTAGTAAACACATATTTGCATTTTAGGCCTGTTCCGTAAACTTAGAGGACTAGGTAATGTTGTTACAATGTTAAACTATTAAAATAAAAATATTAAAAAAAATAAACATCTCAAAAACCAACCATTGCATAATAATAAGATTTCCAATGGGACAAATGCGAATTTAATATCTTTAGAGGGCTACTTACAACCAAAATTTAGCAGGTTCCCTGTAGTACTTAAAGATAAAAATCTCCATATAAAAATTATTTGCAAAGTTAGATATTCTATTCTAAAATAATACGTTTTTAGACTATTATTTTAGTCTGTCGTGCAACAAATTAGTACATTCTTTAGACAATATACTTCTTCGTTCCAACTACTTTTATTGAGTAGTTCTATTTTATTCGTAAAAGAATTAGTGGAAAAAAATCATCAACTACTTGTAGTCATATTGGCTTATTTTCTGTAAGACGGTTAATAGTACCTAAATACCTGAACTAATTGATCTATAGTCTGTTCCAATCTATTTTGAACAAAAAGTAAACAAGGCTGTTAAAATTCTGAAGCAATCACTCAATAAATCGAGTACACGTATATTTCGAAGATTTCGGATTGATATCTCGTCACTTTTTCATATCGTATTTGAAAAATAGTCCAAAAGCGAGGATATTTTTCGATTATTCAGCTCTGACTTGTCTATGGTTGCACAGTGCTGTACGAAATAAAACGTTCGGTTCATTCAATTAAAGTTTTTGTAATCAATTAGTAAATCGAATATTTCAGTCGCAACCGAACGAGTATCTAAGCGTAATGATTTAAAGGAGGATTTAAAATTAAGTTTTCGGAAATTTTAAATATTATTTTAAAGGTTATGTAAGGAAAACCGCTAGTATGACTCAATTAAACAAACCGATTAATTCAATTAATTAATCGATTTGTAGATGGCATTACAATTGGCTATCTATGGTCGGGTCAGTGACTAGTTTGTTTACTTTTTATTTAAAATGGATTGAAACGAAGTATAGCAAAACAGTTAATCCCGCTTCTCCTCCACAGACGCGCCTTAAATTGGAAAGTTATAAAATTTTGCATATGCGGAATTTGTTTCATGTATGTAGTTCGTATTATTTTTATGACTTTCATATAATAGGCACTTTTGATGTATGAATACTTGTGGCTTTATTACACCATATGGTTACGAATTTTGTAAATTATCGTGTTATTTTGATAAGAATAATTTGTTGTTTTGATAAAATATTAAAATAAAAGCATTTAACAATTTATATCGTCACTTAGCAAACAATACCGCTTAAGTGGAAAAGATCAATAAAAATGATACAACGAAAACAAATTTTTCTTATCAGCTTTACAGCAGTTTACTAATAATAGCTTAAAATAACTTGTGTACAGTTTATTCACACTCTTGAATTACTAGCGGTATTTTCTACTAAGCGACAGTACGCATTTCATTTAAAAAAAACCCCAACTTCCACAGCACTTATTAAGAAGATGATTAAGCTGGTCAGAAAAAGCGTTATGTACATGTAATTAAAAGAAATAAAAACATAATAAAACACATCGATTTGACTCCTTAACTCAAAATATTTTATTCAAGTCCTTTCCTTGAATTTTTGTTTATATTAAAGTCTCGAATAAATTTAAAAGCTACGTCCGCGCCAGCCAGTGCGCTAGACTTGTGTCTGCTCGGTCTTTAGAGGGAGCGGTCCCAATTAAGTTCGTTCGGACAAATGAACTAATTCGGTCCTTTGGTTTCTTTAGTACGTTTAGTTCAGTGAGATCTGGAAATTGGGAAGGTATAGGAACAGTTTCATGTCGTTGAATGACACGGAATAAAATGATCCGCGTAGGCCAATGATTCGTATCCGTATGCGTTCATATGGATCCTTTTCCTATTCCTTCCCAATTCCCAGATCCCGCTGAACTAAGGAATCCATAAATCGTTATTTATGGTTTTAAATAAGAATGTTTTATTGTTTATAAATAAATAAAATTTAAAAAGCTCAAAGTCGCTCAACGAGCTTATGGAGCAGGCAATGCTCGGCATTTCTCTACGTGATCGAATCAGAAATGAGGAGATCCGTAGAAGAACGAAAGTCACCGACATAGCTCGAAGGATTGGCAAATTGAAGTGGCAGTGGGCAGGGCACTTAGCTCGTAGAACTGACGGCCGTTGAGGCCGAAAGGTTCTCGAATGGAGACCACGAACCGGAAGGCGTTCAGTGGGACGGCCCCCTATTAGGGACGAATGACCTGGTAAAAAACAGTAATATTTGAGACATTGAGAGTTGCGCATGTTTAGTTCTAGGGATGTAATATTTTATGCATGCTATCTGAACTCTCTGTACAACTTTATTTCTTTTTTCAACTAAGCTTGGTCCGTACACTATATCACAATAAATAGCTCAGGTATCAAAATAACTCTTAAATATTTCGTAATAGAGTCATATATTTTAAACTTCTATCTTTCAGGATTGACGTACACTGGGAATATAATTTTAATAAAATTAAATTGAAAGTTTTAAATGAATAATTTGCGTGTTTGAGAGTATCTTTGTACACGTGGGTGCGCGCGTGCTTTTGTGTGTTGGTGTGTATTGGTGTGTGTGTGTGTGTCAGATATGAGCGCCGCGCCGCCGCCGGCGCGCCGTTCAGTTCGATCAGGCGCTCCGATCGTACGCACGCGCACGCTTCCATATTGTGTATGTGAAAATGGCGACGCCAGAAAATGATTTTTCTAAGATAATTTTTTTATATAAAATGTGAGTTCGCATTTGACCTTCATCTCACCTGATGAAAAGCAGCGATGAGGTCGACGATGGAACTTGCATACCTAAATAATGCCTATTCACTTTCGCCTTGAAAAGGCCCAAGTTGTAACGTTCAGAGAACAAGTCTGCAGGCAGGGAATTCCACTCCATAGCCGTTCGCCTTCTCGCTTTTTCCTATACTTTATTTCAGTTAAAGATTTTTTTCATATTTACAATTATTTTCTTTGTAATTTTTTTAAAATGTTACGTTATATTTTTTTTTCAAAATACATGTTTGTTGTATTTGAGTTTGTTATTTTATACAGGTATGTTTATTAGTATGTATACACGTATAAAATGTATACCTACATAATAATATGGTGTGTAAGTGTGTTGAATTTGATAAAGAGAATAAAAGTAACTATGAAAAAAGTGCATTGTATACTTTTAAGTTTATATTGCAACTGAAGCATGTCAGGATCTTAGCATAAACCACTAATAAACTGGCGCAGGCGCGATTGTAATATTTTTTATGGCCATAATAACCATGTTTAATCCCAACTTTCACATCCCAGGCTTTTAACAATAGCCCGCCTTATTCTCGCATTTTGACGGTATCAACACAATAATAGAGCATTATGCGTGATTAGTGGAGCCGTGAAATCAGTGATCCGCGTAGGCCAATGATTTTCCTCGTGAATACACTTTGGTGACCAACAAATTACAATTTTAGTGAAATTTAGAGAACTACATTAACAAACTGACATTCCAAATCCTCGATCTTAATTAAACGTCTCTTAGGGCGTCATCATACTTATCAACACGGATTAAGCCGGTTAAGCTTTATATCCATTTAATTAGAGCGGAAAAGACTGTGCCTTATCGAATCGGCACGGCTGTCTGAGCGAAAGTATGTGCTTTCGTGAAACGTTTTTTGCAACATACATTGAAAGAAAAAAAATACATTTATTTGACTGCCATAAATGTTACCAAAACGGCCAAAAGTAAAAGAAAAAAAAAAAAGAATATAATGAAAACATTCAAACTTAAGAGACACAAATAAATAATTACAATACAAAAATAAAATTCAATTAAAGCACATTTGTGTTCTTGAATACCATGATGTTTTTACTACCATATTATTCATACATATTATAAGCTTTTTTGAAAATATACCACTAGTTTGTTACCTCTATACAACTTTATATATAGAGGCATAAGTGTTATATCGGCTTGTAGCTCAGTTAGTAAGAGCAGTGGTTCAAGTCCAATTAGATCAAAGGAATTTTTGTATCAATAATAAAACACAGATATATAGACATGCACAAAAACCCTAGATTCCTTGTATGGTAACAAATAGGTTATCTACTCGGTATTTGCTAGAAAACAGAATGCGTTCCCAACACTTATTTTAATTGCATGTACATGAAGCTTTTTCTGATCGGCTCAAGCCGATTCTACGGTTATAAGTATGGTGGCTCCCTTACTACCGGTATGGCTAATTTATTGCCAGTATTATTACCGCTTTAGTAGTATCACTCGCTTGCCCTCGTTACTTAATCACCTTTGTTGTTATTTATGCCGAGTGTATTATACAAAGTTATACAAAGTATTATACAAAGTACATAAACAATATGAAATATTGTGGTGTGGTGTCTATATACATTTTGCTCAAACGTGGGTTTTCAAAATGGCCACTGTAAAAACATAACAATTTCCCGCAAAAAAATGCCAGAAATTTAATTATTGAAAAAATATTAAAATCTAGCCTATCCCGAAGAACGAAAAATTTGTCTATTAATTTTCATACCAAATATCCCTGTTACCGCTGTTCCAAATATTTATTGAAATGAATATTACGCAGACCAAACATATTTTACTAACATGATACTAA